CTAAACACTTCCCAACCCTGCATAACCGATTCACAACCCCCTAACCTATTTTCTCTAACAACCTCTTAACCAATTCCATAACAACCTCTCAACAAAAATAGCAGAAATAGAGTTCCAACAAACAGAATTACTAACTCCTAACTGTCAAACTAACCTGCAACTAACTTTTAACCACTTCTAATAGAATATATAATATAATTCTTTTCACACAGGGAGAAGGAGGCAACAAAAATTTACACAGAAGAAAAATAGAAAAACTCACCAGAAGATCTCAATTTTCTCTCTCTGGCTCAGCACTTCATCTTCCTCAATGTGATACGATGGCAGAACCGGACTGTTTTAGGAAAATGCTGGTTTGCATTTTGCGTTTTTTGTTTGCAAAATGTCGCGGTAAGCAAGAGTTACCACCGACTTTTATTTTATCCAACTGGAAAGGAAAAAAGCACAGAAAAATTCCTTTTTCGAGATATTCTGAGTACGGGGTAGATTATAGAAAGGGAAGGTATTAGCACCCTTTTTATGTGTGGTTTTCCACGGGCTCTTAGGTACTTGCTCATCATTTTGAAAATTGCTTCGTGTTTGTGAGTTTTGAAATGTTTTTTGTTTTACTTCGATTTAGCCCTTGCTTCTGTCTTCAAGAGTGTTACGAAGTCATTTTGAAAACTTTGTTTGAAAAGGGTGTAAGTATGGAAAAACTTGATTTTTGAGCAAGTACCTACTAGCATCTACCTACTCGAAAAAAGAATGTTTATGTTCTTGTTTCCTTTAGACAGCGCTATCCCACTATTGAGAAATAGGTAGCACCGTCGTTGGAGTTGTAAGGGTCAATTCGAAAGGGACGTACGATCACTAAAGCAATGTTAGGACGTCTTAGTAATAACCCTAATGTCTTATATTCGAGGCAACATTTCCAAGGCAACATTTCCGAGGCAACCTTTCCGAATGGGACATTTGATCTTTGTTTAGACAAGAGAGCGACCAATAAAACATCCTATACTTAATGACCGTTTACCGAAGGCAACCGAAGTGAGAGTATACCCTAGGAGTGCGCATGTATGAGTGATTTGATTTTAAGTTTTTATCTTTGCATATTTAGGGTTTGCTAACCATTTTAAAATTAACATACAATCTTGTCATACAATCCTATTATTCATACATCTAACAGTTAATATTTGCGAGAATTAAAATGCAGAAAGTAAAACTACACTATTACAAGGCTTCGGGGAGAGGGATTAATTACATAGCCAAAAACCTGTGAAAATGATAAATAAAAGAATAGTCCTAATTAAACTATTACATACCATGAGCAGTTACATTAATATCGTAAAAATAAATCAACGCGCGATGAATCGAAAATGAGAGAAAAATAGGGTTTTGACCCTGTCTAAACCTAATTAAAAGAAAATTCATTTTTTTGTTGTTTTTGATTATTTTGAGAAAATAAGGCTTTTAATTAAATATGTACAAACCTAATTATTAATTAATTTAAATTAAGAAAAATAATTAATTTTGACCTATTTTTGTATTTTGGTTATTTTAAGAAAAGAAAATAAAAATTAAATCAAATTAAACCTAATTTTCTAATTTGTTTTAATTTATTTACAAAAAGGATTAAAATTTCCCTAAAATTAAATAAACTAACAAAATTAAATTTGATAAAAATAAACCTAAATCTAATTTGATGAAAATTGATTTTATGAATTTTTGTATAAAAAAGAATTAATTTGTGATTTAGAAAATAATTAAAAAAAAGTAAATAAAAGAAAACATAAAAGAAAAGAAAAAGGGCCTGGTGTCAAAGTAGAGAGGGAGTGCTAATAGCAGATCTGAGCCCAATAAGCCTTGGTCCATGTTGACTCCCATAATCCAATGCGTTGGCTTTACTAAGATGCATGGTAGACCTTCATGTGCCAGGCGTTGGATTTAGTCTGCTTTAGATCTAATGGTTAAAAGCTGATGGTCCATGGTGGATCTATGGGAAACCTTCACATGGAATCACATATGGAAAAATAATACTGAAGATAAGGGGACCTGGGGATCGAACCCAGGTCCTTTGGAAATTTCCTTCGCCCATTAACCAACTGAGCTAGCGCACCTGTTTGTCTATGGAATAACCAACAAATATTATATTGGAAACAAGCAAAGTAATATTGTAAAACGCGCGAACTTTTGAATGGGCCAGTCAGGCCACGCCATGCCATCATCTTGTACCTCCTTCCATTGCTAAAAGTCTGGAGACCTTTACCTACGGACAAAAAGCGTAGGTACATCCCCTGTGATTTTCCAAAACTCCTTGCAAGCATGATAAACACATAACAATGGTACCAATCAACTCGTGACAACCTCACGAGCATCATGGTACCTCAATCGTGGCCCAATTTTCCCTGTGTAGCAAAGCCCCAAAACCATCTTAGAAACCCTAACAATGGCATCTACATGTATGGCTTCCAAAAATGCAATCAAATGGTACTATTAGCTTGCAAATATGATAAGGATTATAAATATGTCATTGAAACATGATAAAGATGCAAGAATAAAGGGATACGATTTTGAAAAAAATGACAAACGTGAGGGTTGTGGAGATGGATTCTGGGCAAATCGAGGCTTGATTTTGATCATGTTAGCATCAGGAGATGGCTGGGAATCGATTGCTAGCCTTGAAATGGTGTAAATTATCCTCTAACCTGCAATTTGATTCAACACTTTTTGGTGATTTTTTCAAGTTCTTTCTCAGCTTCTCACGCCTCCAACCCTTGTGCTTTTGGTCTGGATTTGTTCTATATGTAGCCTTGAGTGAATTAGGTTTACAAATTTGTTTCAAATCTTATCCAATAATGATCATTGATCATGATTTGATTCTCATGTAAATCTTGCCAAATCAATCCAAAATCCAATCTTTTTGTGTACAAACAAGCCTTGCACGATTTGATCTCATTTCCAGCTATTCATGGACCTGAAATATGCACAAAATCTCAAGGTTTAAATGATTTTGATATTTTCATGATTTTATTTTGATTTAATTTGATTTAATTGAAATAAAAATCATAGTAAATGACAAAAGTAAAACAAAGGCAAGTGGGAAAGATCATGGGTCGTGGACCATGTTACAAACTCAATACAAGCACAAAAAATTGGGCCCATTTGACAAAATTTGCAATTTGAGGCATATTTGACTTTTGGCAATTTTGCAAAAAAGGTCAACTTCACCAATGCATAACTTCCTCAATTTTGACTCTAGAGATGTGTTCTTGGACTTTTTAGAAATCTCAAGATGTCATCTAAGCAACCCTTTTGGTGTCATCTCAACTGAGTCTTCCATGTTCATGTATGAAGCTTTGACAAAAAAGGTGTTTTTGTTGACTTTTCAAAATGACCTATAATGTCCAAATTTGTATCTTCTTGTGAGTGAATATTTTGAACTTGGGGAGATGAAGATGAATTGTAGGGAATTGCATCCTCTTCAAAATGAGCTTTGGATGGGTCATTTCTGATAAAAAATGAGAAAGATATGCTTGGTCAAAGTTGAGTTGACTTTTCCTACAAAACCCTAATTTAGCAACTTTTGGGTTTTGATGAATTGTGAGCAATCCTTGAGGAATAATGATCAACCCTTGATCAAATGATGAATAATACTTACAAATAAGGATGTTGACCAAAAATCTTGAAGTTTGACTGTATGTGGGCCACAATTGACTTTTGCCCTAACATAGTCGATTTCCAAGCCTTTGAGCAATTGACTGAGCAAACTTCCTCTGTAGGGCTTGAAACTTGACATGGATGATCTTGAGAACATATTAGGACAATGGTGAGCATTTGGGATCCCTTGGACTCAAGTATCTTGATGCAACATGAAATTCTAATTTGAGGTAGACTGCCTTAGGAGAGAGTTTGCCTGGTCAACCCTTGGACTTCCTTGAGCAATTTGAGGATCTCACTTGAAATGTTTTGAGAAATATGGGAGGGAAAATTTTGGGGTACAACACTCAATCTCTCAACTCTATGCACCTTCAATCATCACTAACCTTCATCATTTCTCCATCTCAAATTCTCTCTATACTCTCTCAACAACCACAACACTACATCTTCTTAAATCTCTCTTCTCCCTCTGCACTCTTCAAATCTCGGAAGAATCACCACCAAAACTATCTCCCTGAACCTTCACTCTTCACCACCTTTGTTGTTCTTCAACCTTCTCTCCTAATCACAGTTCTGCAACTTCTCTTTGAGGAATCAGAGAATCTACTCTCTGCTGCCTCCACGAATCTCTCTCTGCTCCTCTCTTCTGTATCTTCATCTTCACCCATCAGAAAATCAAGAAATCCTCTTTTCTCTACTCTCTCTCCATAACCGCATCACTGCACTTCCATCTTCATCACTCTTCATCGGCTACTCTGTTTCTCTTTGCACACTCTTCTTCACCTTCAACATGCAACAAACTACAACACATCAAGATCGTTGTAACTACTTCATATAGAAAAACGAAAAATGAAACGCACACTTTAGCACCAACACAAAGTGCAAGAGCAGTGACTCCAAAACACAGACGCTGAGAAACAGAATTGTTAACAAAGTGAGAAGGGAAAAAATAGAGATCAACACGCATACCTGAATTGGTTTATCCAGATTTCTCATTGTTATTGGCATCAAAGATATACCAGACCGTCTCTGGAAGGTAATATTCTTAGACCTCTTCCTTTAGCATAGGTTGTGTGTTGTTGTTCATTTGGTATGTTTGAATTGATAATAAAGAAGACATCGTGTTGAGCGCCACCATGAACTTGAAGAAGAAGACACAATCGAGCAGATAAAAGCGGCGGATGAAGCCGATTTGAAATCGCAGATGGATGCGGGGTTGTCAGTTTCTTTGGAATCGATTGTGTGCCAGTGTATCAATGGGTTGGAGGGGATCGAAGTTGAGACGCTTGATTCTGTGACGAAGAGAAAGGAAGCGCTTCGCCGGAGAACAAAATCAGAAGAAGATGAAAGGAAATTAGATAGAGATGGTGATCAATGTGGGTTCAGAACGGCATAACGAGGCCAGGTATTCGGGTTTCGGATGTCTGTATTCGTCGACCGCCCTTGGTGCGGTGGCAGCTAGGGTTCGGAATTGGGAGCTTGCGAGTGACCTTGATATAAGAGGTAAAGAAGTCAGTTTTAAAGGGATGTCAAGAATCACAACACCAGTACGATGTCGTTCTACGTTTTCTTCAGTTTTTTTATTTCATTTTTATATCAGTTTCATTGATTCATGCATTTTGGTACGTTGGGCCTTCCCATGTTACTTTGGCCCAATGATTCTAGTGATGCACCTCTCTAAGGTCCAGCGCACCTCTGTTTTCATGTTTTTGTTTCATTAAATTGGAAGTGGGCCAACCGTGGTACTCCCAAGCCCATTCTTTTTTTGGAAGCTGGCTTGCTTTATAAACAAAAGAATCTTGTTGGGCCTAGCGCCCAGATTCCTCCAGTACCCTCTGCATTCCAGTTTGCAACCCCCTTGGGCCTCTTTTTCCTTTTTAATATTTTCTTTTAAAAATTTTGTGAATTGTTTATGTTTTTGAACTCTTTTCCATATGGTAAAAAATAATAAAATCAATAAAAATGTTAGATTTTTTTATGTGATTTTAGGAATTAAATCTCAATTACCCGATTATATTTGAGATTGGTAATTCACATTTGCTTGTTGAGATTTGAGTCTTACGCAAGTTTATTGTGCAATATGCAAATGCGCTTGAGATTTTGATTGTGATTTATTTTCACATCGACGATGCATCGACAGTTATTTCGAGCATTCGAGTTTTGATCCTTTTCTTTGATTGGTGAAGATTTTCGTGAAGATCGTCGGGTTTCTTTATTTTGATAGGCTTTGATACGGATTGATATCCGTTTGGTATTTTCCCTTGTTTATCTCATTTCAGTACTTTACTGTTTTTTAGATATCATGAGAAGTAGGAAATAAAGGGCGTGCACTCGAAGTCGCTGTTTAAAGACCTGTAGCAGTCATTTCACACTTCATTTGCTATATGTGTTGTGCTTGTATTTGTTTACTTTCTTGTTGATCAATGAGTCACTCAATTTAGAAATTGAGATCACGACTTTTCTCTTAGTGCATGCTCCCTATAGGATTTCATCGCTTTCCTTTATTTCTTGTTGATCGATGAGTCACTCAATTTAGAAATTGAGATCACGACTTCACTCTCATTGCGTGTTCCCTATAGGATGGTTTTGTTAGAATTTCTTTGGTATGCTAGCCTAGATAGGATCTCTCTAGACGTGCTCTCTTGAGCTAGCTCTTTGGAGCTTATTGGCTTGTTTGTTTGATTTCATCTTTGTGTGCATGTTTTGAGATGACATACCCTCGACATGTTCCCTTAGGAGCTCTTGATTCAACTATAGATGATGATTTGAGATAAACATAGTTTTAGGTGATAGACCCTTGCTATGCTCCTTTAGGACTTCTTGATTCATCTAAAGATGATGATTTGAGATAGACATTATGATTGTTATCCAAGCATATCAACATAGAGTAGATATTTCCATTTAAAGCTCAACTATAAGATCAATCATTGTATGATAACATTAGGGATAAATTTAAGTTAGTCTCCCTTAGATGTTTTTTTATTTCTTTTACATCCTTTGCATAATAAAACAAAAACCTTTCTTTTCTTTTTTCTTTACAAATCATAAAACACTTAAAACTTTCAAATCCTTTCTCAAGGTAAAAAAAGGACAAACCAACACCTTTCTTTTTGCCAATAGGAATTTCTTTTATAATAACATGTTAGTTCCCTTCTGCTACAGGTCGTAAGTCTCCAAAGGTCGAGCCGCAGTGGATTGATTCGAACATAACATTGTTCAATTAAAAAATACAAACCAACAAAAACATGTGAGCCGAACTACGGCTGCTCTGATTCCTTAAAAGGGATACGTAGGCATTGGGGTAGGGCCCGAGCGAGCACAACTTTTATTTTCCCAACATTCTTTTCTCCTTTCTTTTGCATGTATCCCCTGTACAACTAGATTTAGATTTGAAACACACCCATTAGATTAGAACAATGAGAGTGGATACCGTAGAGTACTACAGGCGTGTGGGGTGCTAATACCTTCCCCTCGCGTAACAGACTCCCTTACCCATATCTATTGGTCGTTCACTTTGATTTCACCCTTCTCAGATTTACTCGATGTTTACCTTTCCCCTCTTATAGGATAAAAAATGTTCGATGGCAAATTCATTTATTTCATTATCAGTTGATTGTTCAGCCGGTTGTTTCAGTCGACGACTTCACTGGGACAGATCGACCAAATGCTGGTCCATCCCGGAGTCGATCATAGATCTTGTTTTCTTCTCTTTGTGTGTTTATTTTTATGCTTTCAGTTTATTCATTTGCACATGTTTATCTGAGCATATGTTTGCATTGCATCTTTATTGTTTTCCATATACAGCTGATGTGTTAGTTTTCGTGCTTCTTTGTTGGGTGGGTGTTACTATGAGGTAAAAGGCCCAATACCCAGGATAAGTGACAACCATAGTGTTGTACCCCAAAATTTTACCTCCCATATTTCTCAAAACATTTCAAGTGAGATCCTCAAATTGCTCAAGGAAGTCCAAGGGTTGACCAGACAAACTCTCTCCTAAAGCAGTCTACCTCAAATTAGGGTTTCATGTTGCATCAAGATACTTGAGTCCAAGGGATCCCAAATGCTCACAATTGTCCTAAGTGTTTTCAAGATCATTCATGTCAAGTTTCAAGCCTTGTAGGGAAAGTTTGCTCAGTCAGTTGCTCAAAGGCCTGAAAATCGATTGTGCTAGGGCAAAAGTCAACTATGGTCCACATACAGTCAAACTTCAAGATTTTTCGTCAAAATCCTAATTTTGAAGTGTTATTCATTATTTGATCAAGGGTTGATCATGATTCCTCAAGGATTGCCCATAATTCATCAAAACCCAAAAGTTGCTAAATTAGGGTTTTGTAGGAAAAGTCAACTCAACTTTGACCAAGCATAACTTCCTCATACTTTATTAGAAATGACCCATCCAAATCTAATTTTGAATAGGATTCAATGCCCTACAATTCATCTTCATCTCCCAAGTTAAAAATATGCACTCACAAAAAGTTATGAATTTGGACATTATAGGTCACTTTGAAAAGTCAACAAAAACAATTTATTTGTCAAAGCTTCATACATGAACATGGAAGACTCAATTGAGATGAAACCAAAAGGGTTGCTTATAGGACATTTCAAGCTTTCTAAAAAGTCCAAAAACACCTTCATAGAATCAAAATTGAGGAAGTTATGCATTGGTGAAGTTGACCCTTTTTGCAAATTTGCCAAAAGTCAACTATGCCTTAAATTGCAATTTTTGTCAAATGGGCCCAACTTTTTGAACTTGTCTTGAGTTTGTAACATGGTCCACGACTCATGATCTTTCCCTCTTTCCTTTATTTTATTTTTGCCATTTATTTTGATTTTTATTTCAATTAAATCAAATTAAATCAAAATAAAATCATGGAAATATCAAAATCATTTAAACCTTGAGATTTTGTGCATATTTCAGGTCTCTTATACAGCTAGAATGAAATCAAATCGTGCAAGGCCTATTTGTACACAAAAGATTGGTTTTTGGCTTATTTTGGAAAGATTTTCAAGAGAATCAAATCTTGATTAATGACCATAATTGAAAAAGATTTAGAGCAGGCTTGTAAACCTAATTCACTCATTGATATATATTGAAAAAATGCAGACCAAAAGGACAGAGGTTAGAGGCGTGAGAAGCTGAAAAAGAATTGGCAAAAACTCAAGAAAAGTGGCAATCTGATTTCAAGTTTCAGGCGCTTTCAAGTCATTACAAGCACGCCATTCACTTGCTGTACATTCAAGGAGTCTATCCCAATCATTAGCAAGCGCGTTCGTGCCCAGAAACTCACTTTGGTAAGAAGAAGGAAATCAGAAGTTCAGTGTTCTGGGTTTGACCCCAGGCAGGAGCTTTTGGTATATTCTCCTTTATTTTCGCCAGAGCCAGCATGTGCATCTTTTGAAGATCACCACCTTCTGGATCCACCGGCCAACAGCAGATCCAGTGCATCATCTTTCTGACCCATTAGACAGGATCAGATCCCGTGCATCATCTTTCTGACCCATTAGACATGATCAGATCCCGTGCATCATCTTTTGGATCCCAGTCAGAACCAAATCTAGCACGTGCAGGCCATCATCTTTTGGATCCCATTCAGAACTAGATCCAGCATGTCCCCATCTTTTGAGGACCACTATCTTCTGGACCATCATCCTCTGATTAGCGCCGCTGACACCAGGCCCTTTTTCTTTATCCTTCTTATATTTTCTTTTATTTGTTTATTTTGTTTTAATCATTTTCTAACACAAAAATTAACTCCTTTTACAAAAAAAACTTATAAAATCAATTTTCATCAAATTAGATTTAGGTTTTATTTTTTGCCAAAAAAATTAATTTAATTAGTTTAATTTAATTTTAGGGTAACTTTAATTCTTTTGTAAATAAATTAAAATCAATTATAAAATTAGGTTTTTTTGTTTAAATTAATTTTTATTTTCTTTTCTTATTAATAACCAAAATACAAAAATAGGTCAAAATTAATTATTTTCCTTAATTTAATTTAATTAGTAATTAGGTGTGTATTTATTAAAACCTTATTTTTCTTAAAATAATAAAAAATAACCAAAAATGATTTTTCTTTCAATTAGGTTTAGACGGGGTCAAAACCCTAATTTTCTCTCGTTCTCGACTCATTGCGCGCCTATTTATTTTTGCAAATATTGATGTAACTGCTCATGGGATGTAATAGTTTAATTAGGACTTTTTCATTTATTTATCGTTTTACGAGTTTTTGGCTATGTAATTAATCCCACTACCTGAAGCCTTGTAATAACGTAGTTTTATGTCTCGCATTTAATTTTCGCAAATATTAACTGTTAGATGTATGATAATAGGATTGCATGACAAGAATGTATGTTAATTTTAAAATGGTTAGCAAACCCTAAATGTGCAAAGATAATAACTTGAAATCAAATCACTCGCACATGCGCACTCCTAGGGTATACTCTCACTTCGGTTGCCTTCGGTAAACAATCATTAAGTATAGGGTGTTTTAGTGGTCGTCCTCTTGTCTAAACAAAGATCAAAAGTCCCGTTCGGAAATGTTGCCTCGAAAAGGTTGCCTCGGAAATGTTGCCTCGAATATGATCTTAAGACATTAGGGTTATTACTAAGACGTCCTAACATTACTTTAGTGATCGTACATCCCTTTCGAATCGACCCTTACAACTCCAACGACGGTGCTACCTACTCTTTAATAGTGGGATAGCGCTGTCTAAAGGAAACAAGAACAGAAACATTCTTTTTTCGAGTAAGTAGATGCTAGTAGGTACTTGCTCAAAATCAAAATTTTCCACACTTACACTTTTTCAAACAAAGTTTTCAAAACAACTTCGTAACACTCTTGAAGACAGAAGCAAGGGTTAAATCGAAGTAAAACAAAAACTTTCCAAAAACACACAAACACGGAAGCAATTTTTAAAATGATGAGCAAGTACCTAAGAGCCCGTAGAAAACTATGGATAGAAAGGGTGCTAATACCTTCCCTTTCTATAATCTACCCCCGTACTCAAAATCTAGAAAAAGGAATTTTTCTGTGCTTTTTTCCTTTCCAGTTGGATAAAATAAAAGTCGGTGGCGACTCTTGCTTACTGCAACATTTTGCGAACACAAACGCAAAACGCAAACCATCATTTTTCTAAAATAGTCTGGTTCTGCCACTGTATCACAGAACTGGCGACTCTGCTGGGGAATAAATAAGTGGGGTATAACTTAGGATTAGTTCATCATAAATTTCTTCTCTTGTTTGATTTGATTGCTTTACTTTTGAGGGTTTTGTATTGGGAGTTACTATAGATTCTAACCCGGATCTGAGGGACACCTTTTAGGTAAGTAGCAATAAACTGTGAGGGAACTGTACGGCGTAGACCGATACGGTTGAAGCAGTAACTACGTTGATGTGGCACATTGGTTGGTACCGATATCCCTTGTGGAAAAACGAGGAGAATACGGGGCTGCTATGTGTGTCGTTAAGCATCAACTGACCTTAGAACCAATAATTGACTAACTTTGCTAGTAGGAAGTAGTGAGATAGGCGGCCTCAGTGTAAAGCTGAGAACTGGTTGATACTCGATACTACACTCATTGAGACCATACTCTCGAGATAGTTCCGGCCGCAAGAAAAGATTGCGTGAGCTGAAACCATGATCGATGGAGGATGGTCAGTGATATTGAGAACCTCTAGAACCCGGTTACTATTATTAGGACATGTTGAAACCAACTGAACTTCAAGAGGGTAATACCTAGACCCCATGCAAGCCTGAAACTTAAGGGCTTTTGTGTGACTTGTTTGCCTTTTCCATGTCTGTTATCTACTATACCTGTGTTGTTTTTACCATGACATCATGCATCATAACATAGCATGCATACTTCATTATACTAACCATTTCAAAGACCGAGGGTATTTATCTTTGTTCTGTTTTGTAGATTATGGCTTCCATGCGCAGAAACACCATCTGAGTTAACTTCGTACAAATACCTGCTCAACTCAAAGATTTAGCCACGAGAGTTTCTGATACTTCTTCATTCATTAGGAGACATGGTCAACTTCTTAGCTTGGTTACCTCAAAGTTTGATGAGCAGATGATGAGTGTGATTTTCCAGTTCTTCGATCCGGTGCATCATTGCTTCACTTTCCCGGATTATCAGCTAGTTCCCACATTGGAAGAGTTTTCTCACTTATTGGGTATATCCATCCTTGAGCAGATGCCCTTCACCGGTTTGGAAGAGACTCCTAGACCAGAGGACATTACCTTAGCTCTACATTTGAAACGGGCTGATGTAGTATCCAACTGGGAGACACGAAGCGGGGTTGAAGGTTTCTTAGCCAAGTTTCTAATAGATCAAGCTCAGCAGTTCTGGGATAACTTGGACTTTCAGGCTTTTGAAGACATCTTGGCTCTCCTTATCTACGGTTTGGTCCTTTTCCCGAATCCAGATTCCTTCATAGATGTGAATGCGGTTAAGATCTTCCTGTCTCGCAATCCTGTACCTACTCTTCTGGGTGATATCTTACATGCCCTCTACACTCGTACTGTGTGAAGAAGAGGAACTATCATGTGTTGCATGCCGCTATTGGCGAGGTGGTTTATTTTTCACCTCCCCAAGTCTGTGTTAAAGAATGAGGAAGGTTTAGGGTGGTCTTACAGAATAATGCCCCTTGCCTATACAGACATTCTTTGGAGTTCTAAGGCTATGGAAAATGTTGCAGTCATTGATCGATATGGGGGATAACCTAATGTCCCGTTGCTTGGAGTTAGAGGGGGAATAACCTACAGTCCTTGTTTGGCTTTATGACAGTTTGGTCGCGCTCGGAGAGACGGTCCTCATGAGCTAATTCTTACAGATATTGTGTTTAACTACAAGGGGGGCGTTGACGAGCATCGCCGAAGGTTTATACGAGCCTGGGGCATGGTGAACAGGTCTGACCCTCAAGATCTAGGACCAAAGACTTATCTCCCTATGCAGCCTTATCTCCAATGGGGCCGAGCTCGAGCCCAGAAGCTTGGGATGCCTTATGAAGTTGTGCTGCCAGTGATTGTGGAGCCTACCAATGAAGAGGGCATTCCTTATACAGTTCTTTATCCCTACAAGCCTACTGATCTTGGGGCGTTGAAGAGATCCTGGATTCAGCTGAAAGAGGAGAGGGATACCTACCGGGAGAAGTATCATGAAAAGAAAGGAAGATCTTGAAGCTCACCAGGAAACTTGAGAATGAAAGGACAATCAATGACTACGTCAGCACCAAGGGGAAGCGTCCATGGGATTTCTGATTTTTGCTTTCTTTAGTTTAGATTTGTTTTTCATTTATTTCTTTTGTAACGCCTTAAAGGCACTGTTAAACATTTTTACAAGTTAATATAATAAAGTTTGTTTTATTTTTGGTTTACAAATTTAAATCTCCCAAAGTCTTTGAAATCATTACACACGCATCTCATTATCATGCACATCATTACAAGTACCATTACAGGTTTCTCATCTTCTTCGCTGTTTATTTCAGCACGAAATGTCTTCTGAAATACCTACCAATCAAGCCATCAAAGCTCTTCAGGCACATAATACCCAATTCCAAGAGTTATTCTTAAACTTGGCTAAAGGGCAAGAGGATTTGAAGACTCTCATCCTGAAGGAGAAGAAGAAGAAGAAGAAGAAGGTGGTTCTTCTGAATATGGGTCACAGATTTGGGAATAGGTTGCGACAGGAAGCTGATCTGTCTCATTCATCCAAAGGAGGAGAGAATCAAGAGGAAGAAAAGGGTCCTAGTCTTGTGGTCTCTGATAATGATACTGATTTTGATGATGAACAGTATCCTCCTGCTGAGGATAGGTACAAACAACTTGAAGACCATATGAGTGCTATGGAGATTCAGAAGATCCCTGGTTTGGATTTTGGAGATTTGGGATTAGCATCTAGGGTGGTGATCCCTCATAAGTTCAAAGCACCAGTTTTCGCTAAGTACGATGGAGTATCCTGTCCAAAACTCCATCTCCGCTCGTATGTCCGAAAAATCCAACCTTACACTGCTGATAGAAATTTGTGGGTGCATTTCTTTCAAGATAGTCTGTCAGGGACTCAGCTTGAATGGTTTTACCAATTGGAAGGAGCTAATGTCCGAAACTGGGAGGACCTTGCTGCTGCTTTCTACAGGCAGTACCAGTATAATGTCGACCTTGCTCTCACTCGTACTCAGCTTTAGGGTATATCTATGGGTGCAAGTGAAGGTTTTAAGGACTATGCTCAGAAGTGGAGAGATCTGGATGGAAGAATCCAACCCCATTTGTCTGACAGGGAGTTGGTTGACATGTTTCTAGGGACATTGTCTGACCCATTTTTCAATCATCTGATCGGCAATTCGTCATCTGGGTTTACTGAGTTGATTTTGACGGGGGAGAGAGTAGAAGCTGGTATCAGAAGTGGTAAGATACAGAAGGATACATCGTCAAGTGTGGTAAATAAGCCTTTCACCGACAAGAAAGAAGCTAGTGCAGTTTACAGCTCGAGGAGACAAAACAGACCTGAACACCGTCAAGCAGTAAATGCGGTAGTAATATCAAGACCCACCATTGCCCCACAATGTAACAGTCAGCAAAGAATGGGGATACCGCA